TCCATGAATGGGGCAGATTTGTGGTGTCATTCATTTTCCAAACCCTCACTGAGATCAAGATGAAACTGTCTTCAGCCCAAGTCATATCCATATGTAATTTCTTTCACTCTGCCCTATCTTGCTGTCCTTACTTCCTTCCTCCAAAACACACTCATTCTCTAAGTTACTTACACAAAAATACCCATTTCAAATTTTTTCTAAGAAACCCAACTCAAGATAATGGATGGCAGAAGCCATCCTAGGAATTAATCAAACTCTAAGGATAGGATTCTGGAATGGGGCCACTTTCCAGCCAGATAGCAATGAGGACGCCAGTGCTGTTGGAGTACAGACAGCCCCTGGCAAGCTCTCAAATAACCAGAGAGACCAAGAAGTTGAGCTCCAGACCTCAACTTGAGCCCTTGGTTATTGGTGCTCACATGGGGGTGACTTTGCTAGACAGGGGACAATCAAGTGTCTGGAGACATGTATGGTTGTCACAACTGGAGGAGTACTATCGGTATCTAGTGGAATAAGGTCACTAATGCCACTCAACATCCTACACTGCCCAGGACAGCTCACCATGACAAAAATTAATCCAGGTCAAAATGTCAGGAGTCTGAGGCTGAGACTCCTGTGCAACTTAGGGGATTGTGCTGCTTGCTGGGATGAGGAGAAATGGCTGGAATATGAGTCAAAGTCTAGAACCATAGGATGTTACAACAACAGGGAAGAAATAGAGAGGGAGGGGAGGGAAGAAGGGAGAAAGGAATTGGGAAAAACGAAGAGAAGGGATTCACTTGCCTCACCTCTACTGTTTCTTAGTTCAAGGGTTCATGTTTTCACTAAGCTCCAAAGCAATTATACCACATCTGTAACCCAGAAGTGGGTATCAGGTATACTTCAGCAGGGAAAAGAGGTTTGGTAGACTTCTGTGGTGACGCACAGAATGTTTATATCAATTACTTGGTGTTTGAAGTAAAAAATCAGGTGAGTTTAGAAGCTGCAATCACAGAACTGCAGAATTACATGAAAAGTCCCCAGTTCCTCACCTTTAATTGCAAGCCACTGTCTGATGTGGCCATAGGTACACACTGCACATGATGGAGACATGCAGAGAAGGAGGAAATTATTTATGAATTTGCTCAACAGATTTTATTTTGGGTTTTTAGAAACTGTGGCAAAATACACACAAACTAAAATTTACCACTAGTAACATTCACCGTACTTACCATGCAATTGGAACCATCATGAGGAGGAAGAAATAGATGATTGCACGTGATACTTAGAGATACAGAGAAAAACACAGGATGTTCTGAGAAACAAAACTGAAAAATTCTACTCTGGATTCTTGGGCAATGAAAAAAGACTTTTTGGGAAACTGACATTAAATCAAAGTCCTGTGGAATGAGAGGTAGTCAGCCAGACAGAAAACAAATGAAGAGACTCCAGGTCAAAGAACTAGTTTGTACAAAGGCCTTGTGGTGGATGGAAGTCTAGACATGCTTGCAGTCAGAAAGAAGGATGGAAGCTGGTGAAGAGGGAGGGAGTGGGAGAGCACTGTGGGAGGAGTGTGACTGCATGCACAAGCAGACCCGCCCTAACCTGGAAAACCACAGAGGGCATTTTAGATCCCAACCTAAGAGCCACGGGAAGTCACAGAAAGGCTGTCAGTAGAAGAGGGACATGTCCCAGTGATCTAGACTAAAGTGCAGAGGCCAATTAAGAAGCTACTCAGTTTCCATGAGGTGACTGTAGCCTAGACAAGGCTATGGTCTGGGAGATGAAGAGGAAGTACTAAAGACAGATGTGAGATTTCTCTTCCCTTAATGGCTACAAAGAGCCTTCTCCCTAGCCTCTCATAGGATTCCTGCCTTCCGCCCTATTCCCAACAACTCCAGTACTCTTCGTAAAAAATGCACAGTCATGTGCCCCATGCCCTACTCTAGCTTAAAACCCAGCAGTGAAACCTCAATAACTATTACAGTGGTTTTCAAACTTTAAAAGAAAATAAAACCACAACAGTTATGAAATTTTACATGGAATCTTGTCTTACATTGGCTTTTTTTACCCCATTTCTTTCCATAGTTCCTTTTGATTATGTAATATGCTAAAAAATTTTAACCCACAGAGATTCATCATAATTAGAACAGTTATCTAACAGCTTGCCTGTGATCTCCACCAATTGTAGAGTTAGTAGAGATTCTTCCAAGTTCAGCATGAGAACCAAGCAAAAGGATGGTACGTGCACTCAACGAATACAAAAATTGTAGTGTATACACTCTATTTAATATAAAGAGGTTTCTTTATATTTTCATGAGTTTTATCTCCAAGGACTCTAGCAGGTTCCCACAGTAAAGATCTGAGAAAAGTCACCAGCTGGTTCTGGCAGAGGAAGAGGAAGAGTAGCCATTGTGAAATATACAGAGCATTCTGTTCAATGCTCTGGAGAGAAACCATTTTACCAGAGTCTAACCTCTTGGGATTTTATCAGAGTCCAAATGACCTGGACAAAAGAAAATAAACAAGTCTGGTCCCATCTTGCCCTCCTATCCTACTTAAGAGGAGGGAGGGGTTTACTGAGAAGCACTTGTGAAATTCATAGTCCCTGGGCACAGGCTAAGAGACTGAAACCTTACCATAAGACTTGTTGAAACAATTGATTGGGAAGCCATTAGGCTGAGGTGGCTCCAGTACCCTGGATTCTCAACCTAAGCAAACCCAAGCCCAACTCAGTGTGACTGGTCTTTACCAATCAGAAACCACCAATCAACCTCTAACTATTGACTTTCCACTGGAATGATCCAAATAAGGCTCTACTCTAACAAATCAAGTATTTTATTTGCCTTGTTTCTGAGTTCAACTCGTAAAAGCCTTTCCCTCATGCCTCTTCAGAGAGGGCCTAAGCTGCATGTGGTCTGGCAATGCCCTTTTCATGAACTGCTGTCTGCTTAAACTCTAAAATTTTAATGTGCCTAAGTTTATATATTATTTTGCAGACTATAGAACACTTCCCCTCTCGCAACCATATCTTACACCATGTTACTAAAGACTTGTCATGCAGCTCATTTTAGTAAGTACAACACATTCAGCTATCAGAAAAAATTGCAAGGCACTCTAATAGGCAAAAAACACAGCTTGAAGAGTTTACTTAACTCATTAATGCGAAAAAGTGGTGACGTGTTAAAACTAGCTCATAAGAGAACCCTCCCCAACCCTAAAAAAGTCACATTTATAGATCAAGAATATTAAAGTGGCTGGCTGCAGTGGCTCATGCCTGTAATCCCAGCACTCTGGGAAGTTAATGTGGATCACTTGAGGCCAGGAGTTTGAAACCAGCCTGGGCAACATACTGAGATCTCACCTATACTTTAAAAATCGGCCAGACATGGTGGTAGTTACCTGTAGGCCCAGCTACTCAGGAGGCTGAAGCAGGAAGACAGCTTCAACACAGGATGTCAAGAGGTAGAAGCTGCAGTGAGCTCTGATGGTGCCACTGCATTCCAGTGTCAGCAATAGAGTGAGATCCTGTTTCTTTTCCTTTTTTTTTGAGATGAAGTCTGGCTCTGTTCCCTGGAGTGTAGTGGCACCATCTTGGGTCACTGCAATCTCTGCCTCCCAGGTTCAATCAATTCTCCTGCCTCAGCCTCCTGAGTAGCTGGGACTACAGGT